TTCAAATAAAAACTAAGCTAGAAAATACGTTCTGCACATTTAAAGTGAAATAATAATATAACAAAATTGGATATTGAAATATAAATACAATTTATTTTGAATAAACTTATTCTATGTATTATATATGTATTCATCGCAACTGTATTTTTCAATATCATTTCGATCTACAACTAATTTGTATTTATATTTTGGTATATACTACACAACTGCCTTTATTTTTGTACTAGAACTAGAATGCCAAAGAGTTGTATTCATCATAAATCAATACCAACATTTTTTGTATTTTAAATTAGTTATACATATCATTAGGTATTCGAATACATTTTGGATGAACACATATTCAAAGAAGTTCAAACATTTAAATATCCAAAACAGAGGGCATTAGAAATTTTCCAACACTTCCACTCATATAAGATATAAAATACAAACTACTGTTTTAAAAAAAAAATTGAAATTCTTAAGAACAAAGAAAAAAACGCTAGAAAGAAAAATGGCAACATATGCTCTTTCAAAAACGTAGCTGATGTTAAATTTTAAAAAAAAATTACCTTTTTTGAAATTTTTTGTTCCATGATTTTCTCTATTCAGTTATTAATTATTTGTATTCTTTCAAATTAATCAAAATAAAATAAATACATAACTCAATCCTTAACAAATTAAAATGTTGACATTTTAAATAAATAGTGAAACTATTGCTAAGGAGTCCCATTAAAAGCTAAAATATTGCTATTTTGAAAATTTTCCCATTATGTATTACCGTTACATCGCATCTAAGTAACAAGAGCAAATTCAGACAATTCAAATCAAAGATGTGCCCCATTAACATAATTTTGTATTTTTTTTTTTAAAAAAAAAAACCACACTAAATGTCAAGTGTAATTTTTGCAAACTCAAAATCACATAATTATGTATTTTTTCTTATTTATTTACTATTGTTGTCTAGTTATTTTTTTTATTAATATGAAAGTAGTTAGTTAATATTTTTATTTTTTGTATTCATTTTGTTTTTTTTTAAAGGAAAAAATATTTAAACAAAAAAATAATAATTAATCAACGATAAACTAACAAAAAAACAAAAAAGAAGAAAGAAACAAATAATAAAAATATTACCAAATGGTATCTCTAATAAAGGATAAAATGAAAATAAAATAGTAAATGAGAAAAGAACAAATGTAATGAACAAAAAGTAATTTATTTTAATTTCTTAAAAAGGTAAAAATATAGAAAGAGAAAAAAAAAGAAGAAGAAGATAAACTAATAAAAAAATAAAAAAATAATAAAAACGTTACCAAATGGTTCTCTGATAAAGTAATATGAAGAAAAGGATAAAAATAATAAATGGAAAAAGAAATAAAAGAGAAAACAAATAGTAACTAAGAAAAGAACAAAAGTGATTTATTTTATTTTCTTAAAAATGTAAAAATATAGAAAGAGAGATAACAAATTAAAAAGAAGATAAACTACCAAAAAATAGAAATAATAAAAATATATTACCAAATGGTATCTCTAATAAAGGATAAAATTTAAAAATAAAAATAAATGAGAAAAGAATAAAAGAAAAAATAAAAATAATAAATGAGAAATGACAAAAGAAATTATGATAGGACAAAATAATTAATAATACGACAAAAGGTTTGGGCTGAGGTAAATTAAATTGAGCCTAAATTTAAAGGGAAAATTATGCTGAATAACAAATATTTAGCATATATTAGGTATTATAGCTACAATTTAAGAAAATTGTAGTTCGCTGCTACAGTTTCTTCAATTTTTGTTATTTGCCTGATTTGTATAATTCACCTAATTTGTATAATTCGTCTGATTTGTACAAATTCAAAATTTGTATAATTCGGTTTCTGATTGTATAAATCCAGAATTTTGTATAATCTTACCATAACTATTTGTATACGGTTTATGTAAGAATCATAATAAATTATCTTGTTTGTATATTGACAAGTGAAATATACCAACAAAGTTCTTAAAAGATTCCTTAAATGTATAAGTAAAGAAATGCTATATACTTATCCTATTTGTATATTCGCATTCGAAATGTGAATATACAAATCGCAACCTGCATAGCAAATAGGTTTATAGGTACAGAGCGTAATTATTGAAATTATAGCTATAAAATCTTATTATATCTATTATGTTTGCTATTTTCTAAAATTTTCTCAAATTTAAAAAGATTGAGGAGAAATTAGGCCTAAATTTAAAGAAGGTTGGAAGGGAATTTGGGCTAAACTAAAAGAGGACATGAACTATAATTTATTTTGGACAAATAAGTATTTGCTGAATTAGTTTGAGTTAGATTATAAAATTATAATTATTTTATGTTTTGTAGCCCATTTATGTAAACTTTTCCTCTAAATTATATGACCAAACACTAATTTCTAAATTTTTTTCCAAATATATTTGTAGCCAAAAGCCCCAAGCCTTAAAAGAGTTCATTGTTGGCAAGGGAGGCAAACAAAGGCGGAGAAGGAATAAACTACAGAAAAGGCCAAAGATTCTGTGGTAGCTTTGTCGCTTCACTAAGAGCCAATTTCGATATACAACCTTGACTTGTTTGCTTCATAGTTGCAACAACCAGTTTTTCATGATACAATTTCCTTTTTATTGGGCCCTCTAATTTTCCAAATAACTAATTAACAACCCCTTATGTTTGCAATTTCTTAAAAAAGATTTAAAATATTCTTAAATTATGTGAAATTGAACAACAATGTTGTTAATTAAGAGTTTTGAGTAAAAAATCTCCCTCTAATTACCTAAAAGGTCAAGAAAGTCCTTTTTTCAAATAAATATATTCTTTTTTTTTCTTTTTAAATACATTCTTTTTTAATAATAATATTTTTATTAGAAAATGTATATCCTTCTTCAATTTGAAAAAGATTAAAAAATAAAAATATTTTCTATTTTATTATAAAAAATTTATTGTTATCTAAATGAATATTAATGATATGGTTTCTATGATCTAATGATCTTATATTATAACATATATTATCAGTTAAAAGGTACATAAAATTAATCTATTTTAATTTGATAAAATAAGATAAACAAGAAAACAAGAATAGAGTTAAACGTAATCTTTTTTTATTAAGGATATGATGTGTTTAAAAGAAAAAGAAACAATGAATTTACTCGGAAAAAGTGTTTTTGACCCATTTAGTAACAATATGGGAATTTCTAGATCAAACTATTATGGTAGGAACATTTTTGGACCAAATTATTAACAATAAAACATTTTCAGACTAAATTATTAAGACATGAGATTTTTTTTTAAATTTTATATGGTGGTTTAAAGACATTTTTTCATAAATTAGTTTTTTTAATAAGAAAAGAAAATTGATATTGCATACTACTTACGCTACATAATATGAAAATGGTACACACGTAAATGAAGTATAAAATTTAGATACTCTATCTCTGTCTAACTTTCAAATAAATAGAAAGGTTGCAGACAACGCTTGCATGGTCCAAGAATTGTTGCACTTTTTCAAAAAAAAAACTAAGGGTAGGAAAAACTTTATGATGCTTAAGACTAGGAGTGTCAAATGGGCGGGTTTAGTTGAAATTGAATATATTAAAATGGGTTGAGATAGAAATTGGGTTGGCTCTTGATCCGCCCAAATTTACTTTGGGCTCAAATGGGTTGGGTTCAAATGGGCTAAAAAATGAGTTGGGTCTTGACCCGTCCAATTTGATCCGATTAATCTCAATAATTTTAACATGGTGATATTTAACTTTTATAATTACAATTCGAATTTTCGCTCAAGATTTTTTTTTTTTTTAAAAGTAACAAATTGATAGATAAATCCTAAAAGATGTTAAATAGATAATAATTCATACCTTTAATATATGAATATATCTTAGTAAAGAGTTTAAAACGAGTTGAATTGGAGATTGAATTGGGCTCAATTGAGGATTTTCTTAAAATGGGTTAGGCTTGAATGAGTTGAAATTGAACCCAATTCAAATTATCTTGAACCCAACCCTTAAAATTCTGGGGCGGATTACCTATGTTTGGGTTCATTTTTGACACCCCTACTTAAGATCGATCTTGAAAAAGTTTTCGACCATGGTAGGCCTCCTACTTTAATATTGTGCTCAATACAGATAGTGGATTCAATATAGCCATGGATTTATCTATCATAGGAGGTGTCTTTAAGAATCGTATTGGTGATCGAATTCTAGAATTCACGGGACTTTGCTATAACTCTCAACCCTTAAAATCTGAAATTCGTGCACTCTTGATGAGCCTTACGTTGACCTAGTTAACATGTTGTACATAGTAATAGTGCATCAGCAACTGCTAGCTCGATTGTGGCTATAACATAGCTCCGATTATGACCTTGTAAGATTTTGTTATAAAAAAAAATAAAATAGATTTGTCCCTTTTCACCAGAAAAAGAAGAAAGTATTTAATTAAGAAGGTTTATGTTAATGACATTATGACGCACAAAATCAAGCACCATAGTCCACTGTGGAAACTTATATTGCATATCATTCTCAACGTAGCACTATTTAATGTTAGAGTGAAGTTTCAAAAACATACATAAAAGGAGTATTCTGATTTCTGGAGTTTATATTTTGTGTGTACGAGTTTTCTATCTAAACTATGATCAATTATTTATTAAAATATACATTAATTATCAATTGTTTCCTTTAATGATGATGATATTTCAAATAGGAAAATAAAATTATAAATGGATAGGTATGATTTTTTTTTTTTAATAAATAGTTGATGATAATTCAAATAAAAAACTTGCACAATTGTGCTTTTAGCTATTAACTTGTTAAGATAAGAGTAATAGGATTGAACATTGACATAGACATAGTAAAAAGGGAAAGAAAGAAAGAAAAGAGTTAAGATTGATAAATTATGAAGTTTGAGGTTAGATTCAAAGTTGATGAAAACATGGGGGGCTGATTAGAAAGTTTGTTAATAGGGTATTAGTTAGTATTAATGAATGGCAACATACATATAGTAAGTAGTAGCATTTCTCCGTCTCTCCACTTGGCGGAAGAAACTAATGTTTATTTAGCAAAGGCGAAACACCCTTTCGGAGATCTCAAGAGACTAATCCCAACTCCTTTTACGCCATAACCCCCCATTCATATTTCATTCCCCTCACTTCTATCGAACCCATCTTCTTTGATTTATCAAGATATGGTAACCCTTTATTCTTCCCCTTCCACTAACTGTTCTGGGGCTTTTTCATCTTACTCCAATTCTTCTATTGGTTTCTACAATTATCATTACAACTTCCCTATTTCATCCAGAAAGTTTGGTTCTCACAAGATTTCTTTGCAAATTAATGCCGTTCGCATGCAAGATGGTTCGCCTTTTTCCTTTCTTTTCAATTTATTCCTTGTTTAGTTAAGTTGCAAGATTTTTGTTCGACTTGTTATTGACTTTACATAGATAAAGTTCGAATCTTTTTTTATGTTTCTTCTTTTGCTGATCTAGACGAATGGTTAATTGTTTCAATTTTATAAGTTAATTTTGTCCCAATTTAGTTGTAGGGACCTTTTTTTTTTTTGTTACTCAAAATTGATTAACTTGTTCTCCAACAAAAGACACTTTTTTGAGTTCACATCATAAATTTTGAGATTCTTTCATTTTATTTTTTTTAGTTGAATGGATTATCCATGCACAGAGTAAAGCTGACCGTCAATGTGATTTTTTTCAAATTATTGTATATGCTGGTTTCTTATGTTGAGTTTAATGTTGTATAGGTGCTGTAGTGGCTCAACCTAGCAAAACCCAAGATGAAACTCCTTTGAAGAAATTAAAAGATGGAATTTTGTCAAAGGAGCAGAAACATACATTTGATTTTGATTGCAACAAAGATAAATCAACTGTCAGTATTACTGTTGTTGGTGCTTCAGGAGATCTTGCCAAAAAAAAGATATTTCCTGCACTTTTTGCACTTTATTATGAGGGTTGCTTACCGGAGGTGTGTCCCGTATTTATCCAGTTTTGTGGAGGTTACTGATGATTATAAATTAATTATATATCTTTAATTGCTTGTCTAGTTGTATACTTAGATACGGTAGAATGGGTTTAACAAAATTATGTTTTTTTTTGTTAATGCAGCATTTCACTATTTTTGGCTATGCCCGGAGTAAGATGACTGATGACGAACTCAGGAACATGGTCAGCAAGACACTTACTTGCAGGATTGATAAGAGGTGAGATTTAGTTTGATTAGTAAATATACATAATTTTAATCTTTTTCGATTTGCATATAGGACATTTAGTTTTTTTTTTCTTCACGTTTTATTTTGATCAATGAAATGTTGGCCTAAGATGAATTTAAATGGAGACACATGATCTGTGTGTTCGTATAGCCAACCCCAAGTTGTTTGGGATTGAGGCATAGTTGTTTTATTTCTAGCAGTGGTTAAATCAAAGTGACTGGGATCGATATAATTGTGCTTAACTTTGTTATTCAGGGAAAATTGTGGTGAAAAGATGGAACAGTTTCTAGAAAGGTGTTTCTACCATAGTGGACAATATGATTCCCAGGAACACTTTGCAGAGCTTGATAAAAAGCTGAAAGAACATGAGGTAATTAGGGATGATATCCTGAGTATTTTGATCTTTAGATTTTGGGATAAATGTGTTTGTTTTTCATAAACTGAAGCCTCTGGGATAAATGGTTGGCACTATAAGGGCTTGCAAATTCAATCGACCTTGCTAGTTCATCTTAAAACACCCAACCCCACTCATAAAAACCCCGAGGGATATGACAAAGGGGGAACTTTATACTTGAGAATGGGCATTGCAAACACCACTCAATAGAAAATCACCCTCTCTGTTTATATATCAGCATTATGAATTATTTAGTTGAACTTGTCATTGTAAGTCATTATACAGCCTTATCCTATCATGTCTCTCTCCTCCTTTTCCTGGCAAATGAAAGAGCTTTAATGATTTTCAACTTCTGCCAAGATCTTCAGCCAAATCCATCTCCTTATTGCAGTTTCCATAATTCTAAGGAGTGGTGAAGTTCAATATAATTTCTCTGTACTTGCAATTCTCAGCGTTGATGGTAATAAGTTTTGTAGGCTGGAAGGTTTTCCAATCGTCTGTTCTACTTGTCCATTCCACCAAATATTTTTATAAATGCTGTACGATGTGCAAGCCTCTCTGCATCATCTGCTCATGGATGGACTAGAGTCATTGTAGAGAAACCCTTTGGTCGGGATTCTGAATCCTCTGCTGCATTAACAGGAGCACTTAAGCAGTACTTGAAGGAAGATCAAATTTTCAGGTGCAGTTATTTAAAGTTGAATTGTGTTTGACCCACTGAGAGGACTATTATTTAACTGGTATATTTTATCCTCTTTTCTATTTTGCAACAACAGGATTGATCACTATTTAGGGAAGGAGCTTGTGGAAAACCTTTCTGTCCTTCGTTTCTCCAACTTGATATTTGAACCCTTATGGTCAAGGCAGTATATAAGGAACGTGCAGTTTATTTTCTCTGAAGATTTTGGAACTGAAGGAAGGGGAGGGTAATTCTCTTTCTCAAAGTTGGAATGTAGGTGGTGTAGAACTAGATTTCATAACTTATTGTTTTACTTTTATGTGTGTCTCCAGTTATTTTGATCATTATGGGATAATTAGAGACATTATGCAAAACCATTTGCTTCAAATTCTTGCCCTCTTTGCCATGGAAACACCTGTCAGTTTGGATGCAGAAGATATCAGGAATGAAAAGGTTTTATTCCTTTATGTCTGGTTTATGTTAAAGGAATTTGTTGTTCCCTAGTTCCTTAATTAATTCCTATTATATGCCAGGTAAAAGTTCTGCGTTCTATGAGACCTTTACAACTAGATGATGTTATCGTCGGGCAGTACAAAAGTCACACAAAAGGGGGTGTTAACTATCCTGGTTATACCGACGACAAGACTGTACCCAAGGACAGTCTAACCCCAACTTTTGCTGCGGCTGCTCTTTTCATAGATAATGCAAGATGGGATGGGGTGCCTTTCCTTATGAAGGCTGGAAAAGCTTTACATACCAGGAGGTTAGTGAAACCAATCAGAGAAATACATATTTTCTTTTTCATTCCTTCCTTATTTTCACTTACCCCTCATACCTCTTTTCTTTTACTTTGCCAGTGCCGAAATAAGAGTACAATTCAGGCACGTGCCGGGAAATTTATACAATAAGAACTTTGGCTCAGATCTAGATCAGGCAACAAACGAGCTTGTTATCCGTGTTCAACCTGATGAAGCTATATACCTAAAGATCAATAACAAAGTTCCCGGTCTAGGAATGAGACTGGATCGCAGTAATCTTAATCTGCTTTACTCAGCAAGGTACTGATGACAATTATGTAATGCATCATTTCATATTTGAGACTGTTACTTTAATTTAGGGAATAACTTGAATATATTGAAAAAATGAGATAATTAAAAACTTTGTATTGAGGAGTTTGACATACATACAAGATGCAAGCTAAATTTAGTTACTGCGAATAAGTTTTCCTTCGTCACTTCTGCTACCCATTTTGATAAAAGCTACATTACAACAACATACAACTATGCCTCAATTACAAGCTAGATAAAATCTACCTTAAACATCTAAATTTGGATCACATAAATCAACTGCATCTGTAATGATTACCCTAGGTTTGTCTGCTGTTTTGATATCAGAACGAGATGATTGCTGAAATGATTTCCCATCACGTCCATGTCTCACATCATGAAAGTTAATGCACTTTTTGCTAATTTGGAAGTAATTGAAATGAACTTTCAGCTGTTGCATAATTGAGATAAAAACTATGATGAAGTGTCTGCATTTTATGGGTTCATGTTTGAAGGCTTAAGTCTTCTGATTCTTTTAGAAAATTCTGATGCATTGCTTCAGTTTATATTTTTTGCTTCTTAACTCAATATGTTCTTGGCAACAAGTGAAAACCTTCTCATGCTATGTCTTTTCTTTTCACTCTGAAGACTGATTTTCTCTTTATGTGCAGATACGCGAAGGAGATCCCTGATGCATATGAGCGGCTACTTCTTGATGCCATAGAAGGTGAACGTAGGCTTTTTATTCGCAGTGATGAACTGGATGCTGCTTGGTCTCTTTTCACACCAGTGTTGAAAGAACTTGAGCATAAGAAAATAGTACCGGAAAGCTACCCCTATGGAAGTCGAGGACCTATTGGAGCACATTACCTTGCAGCACGATATAAAGTAAGATGGGGTGATCTTGCTTAGACAAAGTAATTTGCCATTGCTATGAGAAACCATATGTAGCCTTACAACTTCTTCTGCTTAGTATGTTGCAACCAAATTTGTTAGTGGGATTCCAGTATCCAGACTAACAAAGCTTGAAGTTGCTTACTGTCAAGGCATATGACAATAGAGAACACACAGTTGGTAAAACAAAAGAAGAGGAGAATCTGGGTTCATTTTGTTATTTCAAATAAATCTTTTCTATTGCACCAACGCATTTCCATTGGTAGCATCTTTTTTCATGTAGCATTTAGTATACCTTGTTAGAATCTAATAATTCGAAAAGTCATCGTCTTCTTATCAAGTATTCATACATGCAGCTTTCTGGTTCCGAACTATATTATATTTTATTGCATGAAATGTACTATGAAATAGAAGGTTTGTTGCCTTCAATATTTCTTCACCTTCTATGTTGGTTAGTGTACCTTAAGCATGGTAAGATAAGTGCTTAAAAGGACATTAACATTTTGTAAGGATTACAGGTGTAACAACCCAAATACCCATTTTGAGCATTTATACTTCATTTCATATTTTGATTTGGACTTACTTAGATGGTTCGAGTTGAGACCCAAAGAATTCGAAAAGGTTCTTTGATATGGTCTTGTTTTTTAAGGCTTAAAGGTTAAATTAAGGAACCCAACCCTTTTAAGAGTTTACAATTTAAAGTGTGATTTAACACCTTGTATAAGTGATCAATGTTCTTTAGACCATCTACAACTCCACACTATTTTTTACTCTCCATTCTCTATATTTGAAGAGTAAAATAGAGAACTAGGTCTCCAATCACCCTCCATCTCCAACCCTACTCTATTTTACTCTACATTCTCCATATTTGGTAAGTAAAATAGAGAATGTCATCTCCAACCCTACTCTCTATTTTACCCTCTACTCTCCAATTATGGAGAGTTGAATAGTTGGAGAACTACTCTTCATACTCTCTATTTTACTTTTTGAATGTTATATTATTATTTCTATTATTTTGTAATTAACATATTATTTTTCATATAAGACTTAATTAAATCTCTAATATTCACAATTATTTTTAAATGTAATATAACATTTTTAAAAATATTTTATTTTATATATACTACCTTTATCTCAAATTAATAAATTTCAAATATTTTTTTAAATTTTCGTCACTTTGTGATACAATTTGATGTTATTATTAATTTCCACTATGAAGAATGCACAAAATTTAAATGATTAGATAAAAAAATTATTTTTAAAAAAAAATACATAACATAATAATTTAAATACAAGATAACAATACAATACATAACATAATAATTTTAAAAATCACAACAATAATTTAGTAATCCGGTATGTCATTTCTAGATTTAACAATATTCAAAAAAGGAATTAGTGTATGATTTAGAGAAGTTGTGGTTGTGATTGTCGTTGTACTTGTTGATTTCTATTTTCAATTATTCGTAGTTGTTCTTTAGAAATTTAGAATAAAATATAATTTACTATTAAATAAAAATTTTCAAAAAATTAAAATTTTATATTAGATGAATTATATAGGATGATTATTTGAAAAAAAAAAAAAAGGAAAGATTTATATTATGAATAAGAAAATAAAAATGAAATAGAAATAATACTATAATATTGAGTAGAGAGAATTTTATTTTATTTTTTTAGAGAGGAAAATAGATAATTGGCTTGTATCGTGTGCAATTCTCAACTCCATACCCCCGGAGGTTAAATTGAAGTGAATTGGGGCTACCTGGAATCGAACTTGCGACTTTGTGTTGAAATCTTGCATCAAGGCTTGGAATCTATACTCTATATTTTCAGCAACTATAATTTCATTGGGAAAAAAAAAAGCCAAACACATGTTATTAATGTTATTGTTGCAGGAGACAAATCAGACCGGGAGAGCTCTCTAGGATAGCAACTCTATTACCGTCAAAACCCTACTTTTTTCCGTTCTGATGGCCGCCTCGGCCAGCGGCCAACCTCTTGAGGAGGTAGGCCGGCTGGTTACTTCCGGACCCTCATACGCGGATTCATTGAGGCAGAAAAAATCTAACATTAAGCGTTTACCACTCAAACCAATATCATACTTGCATGGAGAACCTCAGGTAATATGGGAGGTAGGAGAAGTCAATCAGATGATTGTCAATGAAAACCTGGAATATGCCGTTATTGGGAAGTTTTTGTATGGATGGCCTAATATACAAGATCTGAGGAAATTGATTCCCAAACAATGTGAACTAAAGGGAGAATCAATATAGGTCTGCTTAGCAACAAGTATGTTTTGATAAGGGCTACGTTGTTGGAGGATTATGTGCACCTTTTATCTAAGCCGGCATTTTACATCACACCAGAATAATTGGTCTTTCCCGATGAGAACTTTGAAATGGGATCCAATGTTCAATCCAGAAGAGGAGACAACAACCGCAATTGCATGGATCTCTTTTCCATCTTTGCCTCCAATTTTTTTGGAGAAGAGGCGGTTTTTTCACTTGCAATGACGGTAGGCAAGCCTTTACAGGTGGATTTGGCAACTAAGAATCAAACAAGGCCAAGTTGTGCAAGGGTAAAGGTAGAAGTAGATTTGCTAAGAGATTTCCCAAAACGAATTAAAATCGAGATGAAAATGAATACTGAAGAAATAATGGAAAAATGGATTAAAATCAAGTACGTTTATGTGCCAAAGTACTGTCAAACATGTATGATACAGGGTCACAATGAGGAACAATGTTTTGTAGTGCACCCAAAATTGTACCCAAAGAAGAAAGTAGGACAAGCAGAAGGGAGGAGAACAGAAAGATCAGCGAAAAATCCTATTGCCAGGAAAACAGACGTAATGGAACCAGAAAAAGGTGGAAACAACCAAAAAATCAATAAAGAAGAAGGTTTTGTAGAGAGACAACAAAAAAAATGGGGTGGAGACAAACCTAGACAGCTGGAGAAGGTATGGAATAGGGTTGGAGTTATTACTGGAAATAAATTCAATATTTTGGCGAAAGAAGGACAAGAGGGAGGTGATGAAGGGGAGAAAAATAATTTGCCGGTTTAGGAAACAAAGGAAGACACTCTTGGTGTACAAATGAGTGATAACAAAGTTAAGAAGTCCAATAATCAGGAAGACACAAATGAGAATGACCCGATAGAGGTGGACAGTCAATCAGAAAAGAAAGACACAACAACATCAACAGAAAAAGAGGATAGGCAGTAGGCAATACAGGGTGCAGGCAGAACAGGAAGAAATATTGAGGAAGATACTTCAATAAATAATAATTTTGTGGAGAATAATCATGCGGAGTTAGAACACAACAGGGAGGTAGTGGTGACTGATATAATGAAAGGTCCATAATTAATAGAAGAGGAGGATGAAGTTTTACAACACAGAAAAGACACAGAGGAAGACGAGGACATGGAATATAACATACAACAAATTAGTAAGGCAGGGGATTTATCGCCAAGGCATACTAATAGCTTGAAATAAGGGGCAAGGAAAGGAAAACAAACACTTCCTTTACAAGTCCAAACAAGGATTAGCAGGGGGAAGACATCGAATAGCGATCAATGATTGAAAAAATTCTTTTTTGGAATATTAGGTCAGTTAATACTCAAAAATCTTTTGAGCGATTAATGGACCTAAATAAAAGACATCATTATTCATTCATAGCTTTAATGGAGCCTTTTCAAAATCCAGTGGAGCTAGATCAATATAGAAGGAAGTTAGGCTTAGAGTATGCAGGGGTAAATTGTTCTGGAAAAATTTGGTACTTTTGGAGGACTGATTGGGAAGGTAGCATTATTCTTGATACAATGCAGCAAATAACTATCAAGTTCAAAATAAGAAATCATTTTTTTCTCATCACGGCAGTGTATGCAAGATGCATTGCTTTGGAAAGATTAGAATTGTGGGAAGAATTAGAGGATATAGTTAGTAGAGAACAATGTCCATTGGTGGTGGGAGGTGATTTCAACGTAATTCTTAATGAGGAGGAAAAACTAGGAGGCCTTGAGTTCACTCAGAATGAAGCATATGATTTTTCCTCTTGTATTACCGCATGTGCTTTAATAGAGGTGCGCACATCAGGAAGTAAATATACGTGGTGGAATGGGCGAATTGAAGGGGAATGTATTTTTAAAAGGCTGGACAGAATTCTTGTGAATCAAGAGTTTATGGATTTTCTCCCGTCATCAGAGGTGCATCATCTTATTAGACAGGGGTCGGACCATGCTCCTCTGCATATGATTTGCAATTCAGATGCAGGGACAACCATAAAGCCCTTTAGGGTTTTGAATTTCTGGAGTAAACACAAAGATTTCAAGAAAATGGTGAAGGAGAATTGGAATGTGGATTTTGTTGGAAACCCGTTGGTTGAATTTCAAGCTAAAATGAAGAAAGTTAAAAAAATGTTGTCTTCATAGAGCAAGAAGGTGTATGGAGATGTATTTAAACAAATTGCCACCACAGAAGATGTGATAAAGGTGAAAGAAGCTCAAATACAGATACAACCATCGGAAAGCAATAGAGCAAATTTGAGTAAAGCTGAAGCGAAGTTGAAGAAATTCTTGAAAATTGAAGAAGAATTTTTGAAACAAAAAGCCGGGATGAAATGGTTTTCTGAGGGGATAGTAACACGAAGTTCTTCCATTCTTATGTTAAGGGGAAAAGGAAAAAGCTACATATTGCTGAAATAGAGACGGACCAGGGGACAATTCTACACTCGAATGAACAAATTGGTCAAGCGGCAGTGAACCATTTTGCGCAGCAATTTCGTACAGATTGCTTGGCAACTGATTTTGGCATGATTGAACACATTCCAAGGAGTATATCAGATGATGAAAATGAGGTAATGACTAGATTTCCAGAACAAGGAGAAGTGAAAAGGGTGGTTTTTGAATTAAATGGGGGAAATGCTTGTGGCTCGGATGGATTTACAGGACATTTCTTTCAATGTTGTTGGGAAATCATAGGGGGAGATGTTACTAAAATGGTTAGAGTTTTTTTCTGTGGACATGAACTGTTAAAGAGTATTACTCACACTAACTTAGTGTTACTGCCTAAGAAAGAGGTAGTACGAAATTTCTCAGACCTAAGACCTATAAGCTTGGGTAATTTTTTAAATAAGATCATTTCCAGGGTGTTACATGAACGAATTGTGATGATCTTACCCAAGATAATTTCTCCAACCCAATCCGGGTTTGTGAAGGGAAGAAGTATTACAGAGAATGTTTTGTTGGCTCTGGAGATCATTAGAGATATGAATAAGAGGAACAAGAATTTTAATGTGGTGGTTAAATTGGATATGGCAAAGGCATATGATAGAGTACCATGGATTTTCTTAACCAAAGTGATGAGGAAATTTGGTTTCTCTGAAATAATAATTTATATGATATGGAGAATTATGTCCAACAACTGGTACTCTGTGTTGATTAATGGGAGGGTTCATGGTTTTTTCCAATCATCTAGAGGATTGAAGCAGGGAGATCCATTGTCTCCTACTTTGTTTATTATTGCGGCAAAAGTCCTTGCAAGAGGACTTAACATTTTACATGGGGACACAGATTTTAAGGGATATGGGTTGCCGAAGTGGAGTCCTAAGATAAATCATTTGTCGTATGCAGATGATACAATTCTTTTTTGTTCTGGGGAAAGAGGGTTAGTGATCAAAATGATGAAGGTGTTAAGAGACTATGAATGCATATCAGGGCAAATGATTAACAAATCAAGAGTTGTTTCTATTTACATGAAAATACACTTTTGATTGTTGCAATCAGATTGAGAAGGTTAACAGAAATAAGGCAAGGGAATTTTCCTTTTATTTATTTGAGTTGTCCAATGTTTTATGGGAGGAGCAACTCATGTTACTTTGAAGAGCTGATCAGAAAAATTGCGAGGAGGATTTTCTCATGGCATAATAAATTTCTTTCTTTTGGTGGTAAGCATGTGCTAGTCAATCATGTGTTGCAGTCAATGCCTTTATATTTACTTTCAGCCATGAACCCAACCAAGAAAGTAATGGAGCAAATACATCAAATATTTGCGAAATTCTTTTGGGGTAAGGCTGGGGGTATTAAAGGAAAACATTGGGTGGCATGGGAGGAAATGTGCTTCCCAAAAGAGGAAGGAGGAATTGGTTTCAAGAGTATTCATGACATAAATAAAGCCTTGTTTGCTAAGTTATGGTGGAATTTTAGAGTTTCCACAAACTCACTATGGGCTGAATATATGTGGAGTAAGTACTGTAAAAAATTGCATCTGGTAATGGCTAATAGTATTAGAGCATCGCAGGTATAGAGGAAGATGATTAAAATTAGGGAGGAGGTGGAACATGACATTTGGTGGCAAGTCAAATCTGAAAATTCTAGTTTTTGGTTTGATAATTGGACCAAGCAAGGGGCATTTTACTTAACAGAAGGTGAAATGGCACAAGATGAGGAACTGGAGGTTAAAGAGTTTATTAGAAATAATGAGTGGGATGAAGACAAGTTGAGGTCTGTGATTTCAGACGAAATGGTGCAACACATTATTTTAAATATCAAGCCTAATAGTATGGAAGGTAGTATTGACAGGGCCTGGTGGGTTCATACCACTACAGGGGACTTTTCTGTTAAATCAACTTATCAAATTATAAGAGGCAAAATTACTGAGAAAAGTTGGAGTAAGCATATGTGGATTAATGATCTTCCTTTCAAGATTGGTTTTTTTCTTTGGAGGGTTTGGAGGAAGAGAATAGCAAGTGATGATAACCTCAAAAGAATGAGGCTGCAGGTGGTGTCCAAATGCTATTGTTGTGAAGAGGGACAGATGGAGACTATGTCTCATTTATTACTAACGGCTCCCATAGCCCAAAAGCTATGGAAGCAGTTTGCTTCTTGTGTAGGTATTAACATATATGGAGTTAACTTAAAACAACTCATTTACAGATGGTGGGAGCACAAGATGTCAAGTAAGCTAGATCAGATTTTAAAGGCAGTCCCAGCAATCTTAATTTGGGAGTTATGGAAAAGGAGAAATACTATAAGACATGGACATAAGACTTCTTATAGTTACATGTATTATCAATGTCAGTTGGCACTACATCAATTGATAAGGGTCAAGTTTCCATGGATTAAAGGGGTTCCACATCATTGGCATGCAATGGTGGATATACTACAGAACTACAAGCCCAACATACACTATCTTTTAGTAAGGTGGAAGATGCCGATGGAGGGTTGGATTACCTGTAACACTGATGGAGCTAGTAAAGACAACCCAGATCAGAGTGCTTATGGTTTCTGCCTCAGAAATAGAAGTGGTGATTTGTTATATGCTGAGGCTCAGAGTATAGGGCAAGCTACGAATATGGAGGCAGAGGTCAGAGCAGTGTGGGAAGCATTGACATTTTGTATCAGGCAGAGGTATAAGTATATTCAGTTGGAAACAGATTCATTAGCGGTAAAGAACATGATTGTGAAAAATTGGAGAATACCATGGTCAATAGAAGAAAGAATGGATGACATACATGCTATGGTTGAACAGATCAATGTGCAAGTGCAACATATATTCAGAAAAGCAAATCAACTAGCAGACTCTGTAGCAAACACAACTATTAACAAAGAGGCAAAGCAGGTATTCTTAAATTTTAATCAGTTACCAAGCAGGGGAAGAAAGCTCCTTAATATAGACAAACATAACATCCCTTCTTTCTGTATCAAAACAAAGAGAATTAATATTAACAACAATGGACAACATGCCTAGTTACAGTGAAGAGACAAAGTTCCACATCTATATGTACAACTTAAATACTAGCGTTAATTGGAGTAAAAGAGTTGTAGGGGAACTAATCCTAAGAATAAACTATGGCAGCCAGCAAAAAATGATACAGGGATCAGCAAAAAGAGAGAGTAAAGGGGCCAAACCAGCTCGGGAAAACCTTTCTTGTGTTCGGCATCACCTACATATCGAGGGATTCATTGTCAGAACCGGAAGAAAGGAACAACAAAAATGGATGGGAGCAGCTGTCTTACACAGATTTTCAAAGCTGAAAAGGAGGGACTATACTTTATATCAATTTCTTCACGAAATTGGACATTCCAACCGGACAGCTCACCTTCAATAGAGCACAAGTCAGCTGAAAAGAGAGGCGATGCAGAAAGGAGAAAGGAGGAATGCAAACCTTTGTTAGCTGAGGATAACAACAGCTTAATGAAGGATGTTAATCACCTAATGAAGGAGCATATACAACGCAGAGCTAAAGGGAACGAGGGACATCATTTTCAAGGTTTAAAGGCGGCGAAAGGAGGAAGAAGAGAGAAGAGGAAAATGGAAGTTGGAAAAGCATTTAGGAAATCCTACTGTGGGTTTGTCTTGTTTAAAACACCTGCTTTGGTCATATTTGGGCCGACCAGGTTCAGAATTGTATGTTTGAATGACCCATTTCGGGTAGTTTATTAATAACATGGACTCCGAGTCCAAATTTAGCTAAAAAAATAATAGATAATTGGCTTAGAGTTGGTTGACTGGAAAAATAGAGAGTTCTATCTATAGAGAGTTAAATACAGTGTAGGGTTGGAGATGCCATAAAAAGCTCTTTATTCTCTATTTATAGAGAGGTGAGTAGTAGTTCTCCAAATTTGGAGAACCACTATTCATCATCTCTATTTCACTTTTTCATTAATTTAATATTACTTCTATTATTTGTAACCAACATATTATTTTTCATTAAGACTATTAATTAAATCGTAAAACAAAAAATTACGCCGATCGGGCAGACTATGTGTAATGATTCCCCATTCACGATAAATAAAAAGATAAAAAGAAAAGTCATTCCATTTCGACAAAAGACCCACACCCAAGTTTCATAGCTTTTGGTTCGCTATCTCGATCATGATTTTCCTACCCCCACAGGGAAAGGTACTTCCCTTTTGGGCCGGTTGTGGGCGAGGAGGGATTCAAACCCCCGACATCGTGGTTCGTAGCCATGTGTTTTAATCATCTGAGCTACAGGCCCCACCCCGTCTCCACTGGATCTGTTCCCGGGAGTATCCTAAAAAAGGAACATTTCCTCTCCCCGACATCGTGGTTCGTAGCCATGTGAAAGCGCATTTATCTCTATAAGTCTATAAGAAGGGTGTGTTCCGAGGTGTGAGGTGGGAGAGAAGGGATGTCACAATTGAGGTTTTGAATAAAATGACCTTTTTATTTTTTTCTAATATTCGTAATTCTTTTTAAATGTAATACAACATTTCAAAAAATATATTATTTAATATATACTACTTTTATCCTGAATTAACAATATTTCAAATATTTTTTTTCCAATTTTCGTCACTTTAAGAGATAATTTGATATTATTATTATTATTGATTTTTCCTATGAAGAATGCACAAAATTAAAATTATAAGATGAAAATTTTAATTTAAAATTGCAACACGTGACATAATAATTTAAATACAAGATAACAAGACAATACATAACATAATAATTTTAAAAATCACAACAATAATTTAGTAATCCGGTAGGTCGTTTTCAGATTTCACACTTTTTGGAAAAAAATAGTGTATGATCTAGAGAATTGTTGTGCTTGTGATTGCGATTGTGCTTGTTGATTTCTTTTTTACAATTATTCGTAGTTGTTCTATACAATTTTAGAATAAAATATAATTTTATATTAAATAAAGAATTTGAAAAGTAATAATTTTATATTACATGAAAATTATATAGGGTGATTATTTTGAAAAAAAGAAAGAAAGAAAGAACGGATTTATATTGAAATAAGAAAATGAAATAGAAATATAAATAATAATATAATATTGAGGAGAGAGAAAAAGATTTTTTTTAGAGAGTAAAATAGAGAATTTGGTTGAAGTTGATTGTCTGAAAAAAATATTTGCAACACTTACCACACTTAAGAAAAGACCTTAACATATATGTATAATTTAGAAATTATCGAGTTCGGACCTATACACATACAACGGATGGTTCAAACTTTAGTTAGAAGTTGTGGGAGTTATATATATTAAATTAGGTAACTCAGCCACATGTTTTAATCTAACTATTTTCTACCTGAACATAAATTATTGTTATAGCCCTCAATTAATTAAAACTAAGTCATTGATATTAATATTAGATTTGTGATACTCATTCAAGTAATAATTTAATGGGAAAAGGGACGGATTTACCCCCGAACTTTAATAAATGGTACGTATATTCCCTCCGTTATACTTTGCGTCCACATAAGCCCCTGTTGTCCAATTATAGGTACACATATACCCCTCTCACTAACTGACCCCAAATTTCTTACACGTGTCTTAATCCTATTGAACTATCCGTTTGACCCTTTTTTTAATCCATAACCCATCTATCTGCCCCATAACCCAATACCCACCCAATTTCCTGTAAAAGGAATTCTAATTAAAACACCCATATTAACACACCAAAATTTGGGTGTTTTAATTAGGATTACTTTTAGAGGAAATTGGGTGGGTATTGGGTTGTGGGGCGGATAGTTGGGTTATGGGTTTAAAAAAAAGGTCAAACGGGTAGTTCAATAGGATTAAGACAGATGTAAGAAATTAGGGATCCGTTAGTGAGAGGGGTATATGTGTACCTATAATTGGACGGCAAAGGCTTATGTGGACGCAAAGTATAATGGAGGGCATATACGTACCATTTATTAAAGTTCAAGGGTAAAATTGTCCCTTTTCCCTAATTTTAATTTGTGGAAATGAAGATAATAGTTAAATCCCTGTTCACACCCTCATCGCTCTACATAAACTATAACTAGATATAGTAGGTTTTTACTATTATCTAAATTACTATATTAGCTTGGTGCGACATATTAATGTAGATTAAATTAACCTGATAATGTATTTATTCTCATATTACACATAACATACGCTCTATTAAAATAAAAAAGAAAAGTGTAAAAAAGATATATATTAGTAGTAATATAATATTTGTCCATGAATCTCATTTATGGAAATGTATAATTTTTGTTTCCTCAATTCTAAATAGTTCACCAACGATTGTTTGTTATCCTTAATAATTGTCAAGATTATCAAATATGAGATGATTACGGATGTCTTTAGTATGAAGGAAGACACTTTCTGAAAAATGTTTTTCAATTTTCCCACGATTGGTTGGCTTAACTGTTTTTCAAATCAACTTGTTTTCCTCAAATTTAAAGAAAATGATTTCCCTTCAAAAATTAAGGAAAACATTCTTCATCCTTAAATTACAATTTTTTTTCTTACCGTACCCCGTAACCGACCCTCCCCGAAAAAATTTAAAAAATTAACGTTTCTTATTTTTAAAATTTCAAATATTTGTTTACCCCAACCGCCAAACCAACCCCCAACCCCTGCCCCCTTCCCCCACAAAAAAAACTGTTGTGGAAAAATAATTCAAATTTTTAAAATTTCATTTTTTACCCCATCTCATACCCTAACCCCCCCCCCCCTCCCCTGCCATCCCCACCCAGGCCACCCTCGTTAAAATTTGTTTTTCAAAAAATTATTTTTAAATAATATTTAAATTTTAAAAATTTTATTTTTACGCCACCCCTACCACCTTCCACCCCCATCAAAAGTTTTTTCTAAAAATTTTTTTTTGAAAAATATATCAAATTTAATTTTTTTCATTTTTACGTCACCCCCCAAGCACCTCCCCCCCCCCCCCCCCCCCCCCCGGCGCCATCCCTACCCATGTCATCCCCGTCAAAAATTGTTTTTGATAAACATTTCAAAGTTTAAAAGATTTCATTTTTACACCAATCCCTAGCCTCCCTCCCCCCCCGGCAACCACCTGTCAAAAAAATTATTTTTGAAAATTTTTTAAATTTTTTAAATTTCAATGTTACCCCTATCCCCATTCCCTAATCACCCACAAACATGGTCTCCCACATTTCAACAACCCCTGACCAATCTCCTCCATCAATTGATTCGATATTTTGGAGTAACTATCAAATGCTATGTAGATAATTGATCCCTTATCCTTTGAATTCAATCCATATAATTATTTGAACTAATCTCAATCATATCAGCTCTAAAAGTATTATCATCAAGAAAAATTGGAGGAATCGAAGGCCCAATTCCCACCATAGTTACATGATTTAAAATTTTCAAAGCATCAAATTTCAAAGCTTCAAAAGTGTTCACAAAAACTCTTGAATTTTCTTCACTATTCAACATTTCAATTTGCCTTTTAATAGACTTAACTGCCCAGTTAGAACTCTCCACGTCATCAAACACAAAAGAAGAAAAATCAATTGGACTAAGTGGTGGCAACCTGGTAACTCTATTATTTTATTCTTAGCATCATAGTTCTTGAAATAATCATAATAGTTTGTGAATCTATAATAGTAAACATAAAAAATTGTGTCTGGTTGGATCCAAAATAATGTAGATGGGATATTAATTTTTTTGGCCACTAAACCAACCTATTTCATGATAATAGTGTAGATGACATGTGAAAAAGGGGTACCTTTTTTGTATTTGATTGGATTAAATTGAAAATAAATTTTGACCCGTGAGACTTTACAGAATAATAGAACAAATGGAACTCATCAATTGAACTTAACTAGAATTTGCCATCATAGCCATCAGAGAAAGGAGCAAAGCTTAATCCTTCAGCGTTTGGGAGTTCCTTGATTTTACTGAAAGCTGATAGACTTGTGGTTAAAGTGACTTCAATGCCTAAATTGATTAATTGTTTGGAAAATTGAAGACATGGATTAATTTGACCTTGGCCTGGTAATAGTGCTATAAGAACATGAGACTTTTCATTCTTCAAATGTTTCATGTTTTGGATGGTGAAAAGAGAGGTATCCATGAAAGAGAATGGAGCTTTTGAGCCGGGAAATTTATTAATGAATATAGCGTTTTTAAACTGGCTTGGTACAAATGTTTAAGGTCACACATATTTATACTAGTAAATAGATGGTTCTAGATATAAAATAAATCTAGAAAATTTATCACATTCTTTAAATATCTACCTTAAATATTGAGTTTTGAGATTATACAAATATTTATTAAATAAAAAGCCCGACTACCCCTCGTCAAATTTTATTTTAAGAAATTGTTTTTGAAAAATATTTTAAATTTTTTAAATTTCTTTTTTACGCTACTCCTACCCCCCCCCCCCTTCCCAGCAACCCCCTCTGCCTCACCCCGTCAATTTTTTCTTAAAAAAATTATTTTTGAAAAATACTTCAGGATGGAAGTCTGGGTTGGATCCTGGGTCAGATCTCAGGGTCGGATTTTGAAACAGTCGTTGGGGTCGTGTTCTAGTTAGGGTGTCAAGGTCGGGTCCTAGATCAATTATTGGGGTTATTTTTTGGATCAGAAATTATTTTCCTAAAGAGAATTTTCTAGTCCCAAGCCAAAAATAGAAGATATTTTCTAGAAAATATTTTTCATTCACCAACAAACATTAAAAAATATTTTTTAAAATATATT